GCAAGACAACTATTTGTCCGGTCGTGTACTTTCACCCTAAGCTAAGAAGACATTGCTGTTGGCCTTCTCTGCTTGCAGTCGCATTTATTTGCTTCTTTACTGTACCTTTCTTTTCACCAACTTGAAGAGGGAATATTTTAAGATACAGCAGTGGACTATGTGCGTCTAAGACTGTGGACAAAAAGATCAGCCAAAAGCTGTACAAGGGAATGAATACGTAATCAGCAACCTTGTACTTGCCTGTTATAACAAAATCGCATTAAAGAACAGAACATTTGACTGTAATGTAAGTTGCAGTCACTTCCCTGCCAGGGCAGCAATCCTCTTGAGGCTGTCATCTATTGCAACTTGAGTGATTGCTAATTGCTTTTGTGAAAGCACCAACTTCAATTATATTTTTAGCGTGTCACCTGTACAGCTTTGTATTTGCATGTATTTAGAAAGGCATTCATGCGACGCTGAAAAATTAGGAAACAATCCTACAAAAATTAGATTCACATTTGAATTGTAACATTAAACATGCTGAAGCCTCGGAACAAACTGTATTGTACATATCACGCTTTCAGTTCGGAAAAGTGGGAAAAATGCAGTGTTTTGCTAACTGTGAACACTGCCCACACCTCCTTTTGATCTGCTGGGCTTGCACCTGGCACCGATGAAATGCTGTTCCACAGAGCAAGTGCTTATTATTTGTTAGCTGCTTTTGGTGCGAGACTTCACGCCCGAAATGCTGACTGTTCAAGCAGATGTTAAGTGCTTAGCGGTTTTATAGGAAGAGCTGATGTCCCTGATAACTGACTTTACTGGAAGCGGAGAGGGCCTTAACAACACATCTGGGGTTCACCTTGAGCTTTGCAAAAATTCAGATTTGGATCCAGACTGTCTGGCTTGAGCCAATGCCTCCTTGAAAGAAGAGATAATTAAAATGACTTTTATGTCTTTCTTGGAGTCATCATGTAATTTGTTCCAGCAGGAGATGTGACAAAATTATTGTACTTATTTTAAGTTTTCTATGTTATCTTAATGGCCCAGAAATTTTTTAAAGGAGGTTTAGATTGTGTGGAATAAAGTGACAACTGCATGAATGCCGGTGTTTCTATGAGCATGCCTTTTCAATATCCATACTGATTTTATGGTCTGTGGTAGGCAGGGTTGAACTGCTTTATTGTTTTGCTCTCTTTTATTCCTCACAGTAATAAAACAGAGACCTGAATTAGCAAAAATCTGATCCCTAATTGACCTTATCTTGCTGCCAGCCTGATGTAATCCAGATTCTGATGTGATCTTGCCCTCCTTTCTTGTGAATAGTGAAAGAACACTCACTCTCATTGATTAAAAAGATTAGTTTGCTTTAAAAAAGGGGGGGAAAAGGGTAAAAAAGAAAAATACTATCTTTCAGGCATTTTCCACTTCTGTTTTATTGGTTTCCACAATTAAAATTGCTTGCAGTTTTTAAACTGGATATGTTGCTGATATGACTCTGCATTCTTGGATACATCTGTGTCTTTTTGCATATGGCGGTGCCTATAGTGGTAAAATTCTGCTCCAAGTGCAGTATAGCAGCTAAAAACTCTGGTACCTAACAGTTGCGGGAGGCAGATGTAGATTTTCTTTCTCTCCCCCCCCGCCTCCCCTTTTTTTTTTTTTAAGCAGGAAGAAAGAAATTGTGTTATATATTTTTAACAAAATAGTATTCAGATTAAACAATTATAAGACAGACTTGTAGTAACCTACTGATTACTTTGTGCTTAGGAGGTACCCTTGTAGCAGCTGAAATCATTGGTAAAATGGTGATACAGAAGATACATGTTGTATTTTAAAGAACCATTTCTAGATTAAATTAAGATGAATTTTTAGGTTTTGTAAATCAAAGCAATATAAATATAAAAGCTAAGAGTACATTTTATTGATTTTTCAATCCTATTAATATTTATTAAGCTACAATTCTTCAGATTTCTGTATCTCAGATACTCTGTCAAGCAATAACACAGGATTGTCTGAGACGAAAATGAACTTGGACCCAGCGAAACCAAAGAGAATAAATTTCTTCATTTTCATTCCTCAGACTGACAGAAATGCATAAAATACAAAAGTCAGAAAAACATAATAATTATATTTGAAAAGTCCTTGCTACCTTATTACATCATGTGCAAAGTTCTTAAAAAAGAGAAAAACCCTGTTTAATCCTGTATTACTATAAAAATGTAATTGCAGTGCAACATTGAGGATTACCATCCAGCCTTCAGAAGCGCTTCTGCCATGTTGTTTCAGTGTTCTTGTCCACATCCTCTGCACTGTTCTGGACCATACCTTACGGTACACTAGATTTTTCAGGGAAAGCAAAAAATGCTCACTTCTGCATAGCAATTGTGAGGAAGGGGAAGGCAGAATTTCCCACCACTGTAGTGGGGCAAGCCGGTATTTTGTATCAACACAAATGCATTCTGTATTTGTTTATTCAGATTTATATGTTAGTATACATGTATCTTTTAGTGGGTTTATTATGGTAATTCAAGGCATGTTGGCTGAAGTGCCCAATATAAATATTAAAAAGTAATTGTACATATGATTTGGAAAAAAGAGGAAAAATGGACAATGATTTTCTTCATGTGTGTAAAAACCATTGAAAGGTTTGGAAATTTAATCTGCTTAAATTTATTTTTGCTTATCTTGGGCAGAGGGGAATATTTGATTGAGCTAATCCCAGAGCTTTGCTTTTAAGGGGTCAGGAAAAAATACTTCAGTTATCTACATAATAGAGGGCTCCTACCTCTAAGTAAGAGAATAGGACTTCAGGTGCCTAAAAGAATTTTTCTTCTTAGTATCCTCACTTTCAGAAATTAAACTCAACCCTTTGACTGTTTTTGAGTTGATAAAATTTCTCATTTTCCTGGCTTCTGTGGGTTTTTCCTGGCCCGCATTTCTAATGTGAAAAACAACAAGAGGAGCTTGTGTACTTTGAAAACCAAAGCAAACTTTTTTCATATATAACAGGGGGAAAAAAGGTCACATCCTATTTGTTTCTTTTCTCCCCCCTTTGCAGGTCATTTGTAAACTGACTCTGCCTCTTCGTATTGCTTTTTAGAGTGAAACTTTCGGTCATAAGTCACAGTTAACTTTATGGCAGAAATACTGCAAAAAACCTGCTTTTTGTCATTTAAAGTGGAAAATTTGACTGAAGCTTAAGTGTAGGTAGCAGCAGACTGTAATATAAAGTTAAAGACTAGAGCGGAAGGCAGCCTCCTTCTTTGAACCATAACCATAAATATTTACACTTCCAAACCAATTAATAATTCATGACACACAACAGTCGTGGAGCATACTGTGTTAACGCTGTACAGCTGTATTTTTATTTTTAATTTTTTAAAAAAGCAACACCTTTAATCCCAGGGTGCTTTGTGAGGTAGTTTTCACCCGTGGCAGATTCACTAACACCACGTCCCGCTGTGGCCGGGCCATGGGTGCCAGCTGGTGCCGTGTAGTGTCCGTGGCTCCTGTTGGCCTTCCTGCCGTGGCACACGGCTTCTCCCCAGATTTATTACAGGTACTGATGGAAGGTATTCCTATAGATAGAGTCGCTTTAACCGTTGGCTTGCTTTTCTTAGTTTTTCTTAATTTAAGTTTGAGCAACTAAAATCATCTATGGGGGTATCAGCTTCACGCTGAATTTTGTGGGTGAACTCATTGAAGACCTCGTAGCTGTTTGCCACGAGAAGGTCAATATGCACCATTTTGTCGCAGCTGTTTGATGGAGGACCTATGTTTCCCCTTGCTCCGAAGCAGGCATGGGGTAGATGTGAGCATGTAATTACAGACTGTAGACTGTTTCGTAAGGTATTTGCATAAGAAGCCAAATGAGATTAGTTTAACATAATTCTGAAATTTCCTAACCTCCCAGTCTTTGACGCAGCAACCTTAATGTTATTTTAATACAGTTTCTTGAGATTAATACAGACAAAGAGTCCCCATAGGTCCTACAAATCTGATAATCACATGGAAAATCTAACAGGAGACGTTTCTGAGAAAGAACAGGAAAATGCATGTTCATATGGAAATGAGGAAATGTTTCTTTACGGTGGCTTTCAGAAAAACTCCTGTGAGCTACCACAAAAAGAGGGTGAAATCTTCATCCCTTTGAAATCAAAGGGATTTACTTGAAAGTTTATGTGATTAGCACATAAAGATATCTGCTGAAGTAGAGGAAGAAGAATTTTTTTTTAAGAAGCCTTTAAAATGACATAGTGAACTATTAAATTCTGTAGATTTCTATAGTAATATTCTGTAGGATCCTACCATGTTTCTCACAGCAGAAAATTCACTTTTTAAGCATGTTTATTTGCATTATTTATAACCCAAAGATAAAACTCAGACTGTTTCTTTCAAAAAAATTACCATTTTCTGATGTTAATTGTTGCCTGAATAGTACTGCGTGTTCACTTAAATTCTGGGGTGGCGTGCCGGAGGAGATGTAGTTACATTTCCTTACAGATTATATTAACATTGGATTAAGAAAGCCACAATAAGAATTATCTACCTGATCTTCCACAATTAAGCATTAGTCTGGTTTAAAGCTTTAAAGCATCAGACAGTACAGCAGTGCAAGTTCTAATTAGCATTGTAGCTAATGCATATATTGGTGTTCATGTGAAATAAACATGCCAAAGAGCATAATACATGTATTATTTTAATGCTTGTGGGGGTTTATTGTGATGTTAATTATAAATCAGGATGAAAAAAGAATTATGTAGATGTTCTTCTTATTAATTAAAGCAAAATACATTCATAAATCGATTTTTTTCCTCCATTATAGCAATAGAAAGTCAGACTTGCTGCCCTCGCCTTGCCCCCTACTTGAGATTACAGAAAAAAATACCTTGAGCTACTTTAATTTGCCTCCTTTTTCCTAAATTTTTGGCTTCACCTTTTCAAGGCGTTGTCAGCAATCACAAAGCTTAGAAATATATCAGCTGAAATTTTCATGTAGCCTTTGGCTTCAAAAGGCTTAAGGAACGACATGAAATACAGTGAGGTTTGTGATTTACAAACAAACCCAGGTGAGCGTCAGTGTGGCAGCGGTAATCTGTCGCTGCAAGAGTACAGCCCGCACTCTGCCTGCACCCGGGATGGCCCTCAGGTTTCATCCAGCTTTTTGGGACGACGCAGAAGGAAAGGTGAATATGCTTTTACCCTGGGGGATTTGTAAATGGATTGTCACATTTTCATGAGTCTCTGGCCCGGAGCGGGGAACCCCCCTGTTACAGGAGGGTGACCGCCTGAGTCCCTGCGTGGACAAGTTTATTGCAGTGAATACTTCTTTCTCGCCTTAGCCAGAGAAATAGTTGCTCGTATTGCGGGTTATATTAGACAAGCATGCCCCTTTGGCTGTAAAATCTCCATCCGTTCCTCCTCTCGCTCCCTTTCTTCCCTTCCCCCCAGCAAAAAGCACATCCTACGGCAGCAGAACCAGCAGCGTGATTTCAAGTACAGAACTGTACAAGGGAGAAAGGAGGTTAAAAGCCCTTAAAACATATGGCATGTTTTGGCTTAATAGGAAGTAGGTGGCAATCTCCACAGGGATGCAGCATGGTTTTTTGAAGCATTTGTTTCCCAAATACCTTTTTGTGATTTTTCCAGTGCAGACATGCAGTAAGTGAATGTAACTAGCATATCTGCTGCGGTGTAATATGCACCTTCTGTAAATGTGACAGTGATGAGTTTGACGAAAGAGGAGGTGGCAACCAAAACAAAGACGAAAAGTGCTATAAGGACTATGTAGAAATTAAAAGCAGGTGCCATTTAGGGTATTGCTGTAGAGCCTGCTGATACTGTTTACTTCCCTGCTGAGGTAGAAATCTTTCTCCACTAAAAGCCTTCACAAGAGCTGAGGATATCCCTGTGCAGCAGTGTATTACAGGACACACATTTGAGAGGAAAACTGTTAAAGCCACCTCTTAGTTTTATTGAATTATTACTGCTCTGAGAAAAAAAATATACTTTAGGAAAAACCCAGCTGTTAAACGTAGCGCTTTTGGAGCAAACGTGTTTACTTCAGCGTGGCATTTAAAATGTATTTACCCCAAAATCAAACAGCAAAAGCCACAGCACTGGATGTAAGAAAAAGATTTACAGATCTGGGTTACTTCTCCCGCAAGGGCTGGCTTTGAGGGCACTTTCTTCAGCATGGAGGGGGCAGTTGCGGCCGACCCTGGGAGCTGGGGGGAAGGCAGGGGGGTCTCCGCTGTGGGACCCGTCCCCCCGGCGCGGCCGCGGTGGGTGTCAGCGCGGGGAGGGTGAGCTCGCCGGGGCTGGCGGAGCACTGCAGGAGCGCTGGGCATGGGCTAGATTACAGGTTAGAGATGGCTGGGTAGCTTGTTTCCATCTCTTCCCTACCTCCTCCTCTCCCTCTCCTTTCCCTCCCTCCCCGTTCTCTCTGTCTCCCTCTGAAGTACATATTATTGATGCTGAGGCGGGATCATAGAGCCTTGAGCATCCCATGGCAGTTCGTAGAGCAAATGGCAATTTATTTTTCTTTTATTACACAAAAAAAGGACTCCCATTTCCATACACTCTGTCTGTATGCAGCTTCTGTTCCTCGGGATACAAAGGTAGAAAATGGAGTGTGGTCCTATAAAAAGTAGGTAGAAATTTTAACCATTGTCTAGAAGCCCTCACAATATTGTGACTGCCGTGGCAGGTGAATAATGAGCCACTATGCCAGGCTTCCAGCTAAATGGGGCTTTGTCCTGTCTACGCAGTAAAGGCACCCAGAAGAATGCAGAGCAGTTTTCCAGTATACAATGAATCACTCAGTGAGGCCAAATGACACTCTCCGAACACTCGTCCCAGATATTACAGCTGTTGAAGGAAGCTGCTTATGAAACAAGGGTAGGCTCAGTCGCTTCGTGACCTTACAGTTCCTCCGCTGTAGGAAATAGTTGGGGTAACTCTCTGCAGGAATAGCATTGCTTTTAAACCCATAAAGCTCTGCAAATGGAATTACTGGAGTGTTAGAAAGATATTATGTTGGGACCTGGCCTGGTAGGATGTACTCTGAAAGCAGTGTGGTGGCCATTTGGGTAGATTGCACAAACTTCCTGAGAGAGAGGGGTATTTAATTCAGAAACTTGGCAAAACAAAGGAAAGGAATACTGGGAATTGGGAGATTTGTCTCTCCCCAGCTGGGAAACCTATCGCAGTTGTAACATACTTGGTGAAACCGACCTTTCCTTGCATGCTCAGCTTCTGCTACAGAGGGAGCTGTGTCAGTATGTAGGTATATAAGTGGGAATTTGGGAAGTTTTGCAAAGCAAAACAGATAGTTTAAACACTACGGACCTAAAAATAACCTTCTCGCTGGGTTTACAGTGTGGAAGAGTTCTAATTGTTGTTGCTGTGACCACTGTGGTGTGGTGAAATACTGTAATCTAGCTATTACCCCTGCTTTCGCTACTCTCATGATCAGTCACATAAGCTGTATTTTCTATTGCCCTGTATAAGCTCTCAGAATGGTCCGTGAGCAGTGACAGTCACTCTTACGCATTAGCACAATGGGAATATATTATTTACAGGTCATATTTGCCTTCAATTTCCATCCATTTTTTTCCTTGAAATTTTCATGTGTTTCAAAGGTACTGGCATAGCTAAGACCATATTCCAGCTGGATTTGGAAAAAAGGTTTAATTTGAACACTTATCCACTGCTGCATCACTTTCTTTACTTCATGGATAATCCATTTCTTAGTGTTGATTATTAAACTTACTTTCAATTTAATGAATTTCTGTTAAGAGAGATTATGTCCCAGTGATTCACAATATTTATATACCTGCATAAGTCAGAAAACAGGAGACTGTACCATCAAGGGAATTATGCTTGTCCACAGTCTTTTTAATGTAGAAATGTTTACCTGCAAAGCAATGTGAATATATAATTCCTATGCAGACACTTTGGGAGAAAAAACAAAATTAATGGTATAAGTATACGATCATTTGTTAGGTCTGTGCTAATCACATATGAGCAGTTTCTGATAATTAGAAATTATTGTGTGTGTCAGTAGCCGAGTGAGGTCTTGCACTTTCTTCCTGCCCTCGGGATTTAAACATAGTGTACCCAGCAATCATTTCCCTTGCCCATGCTTTGGTTATCACCTGTCACAGAACAGTTTAGTTCCTTTTTTTTTTTTCCCCTTTTACTTAAGATACAAATTTTCTGTGATCCTGAGGCCAGACTGTGATAAATCACTTACACATTCACAAACTAAACAAAGATCAAGATGGTATTAGCTGGGAAAAATATACAGGCATACAAACTGTTGTACGTTACTTACACTAGTGTGTAAATCTGTGCCCACGTAACGGCCTGTGACGGTGTGCGCTATACAATACGAAAACTGTGCATGAGTGTTCATTAGGGAAACGGAAGGGATGCTCGGGGTACCTGCTCTTACCCCCTGGAGATTTGGGCTGTTCCGCCTACCCCCGCCTGCTCTCCAGAAGGACGTAGGGTCTCCCCGAGGCCCTGTGTCCTCTGCCAGTCCCTGCAAATGTCCTGGATATCCTGCAGTGTCTAACAAGGGGCAAGACGTTCCTATTTCAGCCGCTGATCCGTTGCAGGATCCCTGTGTTTCTTGAGCTGTGGGACCCGGCACTGAACCTTTCATTCGTTCTGCCGTCAAAGCAGTGACATAGAGCAAGTAGCGATGTGAAACTGGGAGAATTTTGTCTTCCGTATCTCGGTCTCCTCCTGTGCGGCAATCAGGATCCTTCGGAGACATTTCAGGTTGACTTGGCTGCTCTTTTAGCATTGTATTGGAAGAGCTTCATTACAGTCAATGGAACTATTCCATTGAGTAACTTGCTCAGCGGGGTGAGAAAGCAGCTCATAATATGGCCGTAATAAAAGGCCCAATTTTGTCTTCTTTAAATGCACAAAATTCCCATTGACTTCAGTGTAAAAGGAAACAGGGATATCAGGCCTAATGCTATCTGTCTAAATATAATTCTACCTGACACGTCTGACCTTTATTTTTAGAACAATTTCACTTTTAAAGGAAAGTACAGAAATACAGGAGCATTTATCTATTTATATAGGGGAAAAGTGAAATCACTTCTTTTCTTCTGTCTGGGTGCTGGAGCATTACAATGTGCCTGCCAAACCCTATGTGTAGCTTGGCCTTCACGCTAGGCAGCAAAGCCTTAAATGAACAAAAGACACAACAAAAGCCTCGTTTGAAGTATAGCAGGAGAATGTCGGGGAATGGAATTACGTTTAAGGATATCAGACTCTCTATTTGTCTTTAAGTTACATTTTAAAAGATTCAGATAGGACAGAGTTAAATCTTGGCCCAAAATGAATAAGGTCATCTGTAATTTTTTTATATTACGGAAGGTACGGCATGTACCGTTACATGTATCTGCAATGTCCAAGAATCGGTACTGGAAAGACTCCAAGTTTCATCTTGCCTAGACTAAAGCAACAGTTTACAACTGTTGTTCTGTGATTTTTTTCCCCTGCATTTAGCTGAATACAATGATAAAATATATCTGCACAGAATATTCCCCTAACAAGAATTGCAATGTAAAAATAAAACACCAGATGGCAGCCGGGAGCATCACTGAGAGTGAGCCACTGAGCCCGCAGTGAAAATGGTGTTGGAATTGGTTTAAAACAACTAAAGCAACAATCTCCTCCTCTTGATAACGGTGAGCGCGTTTAGACCCAAAATGTCTCTTATTTTACTTGTTTCTTGCAATCCTTGAAGTCTTCTGGAAGAGTCTTGGATACTTTTCAAAATAATTGTATAAAAAACCCATATATGTCTGATCTCATAACTATATAAAAATCAATAAACTTCTATTAAAAATGCCAAGATACAAAATG